TTTTCACATCAACATTTCTACCACTTAGACCTAAATACTACACATAGCCACTAGACACAAGTATTTTCTTATACTTACTGTTACTTATACTTACTAATGAGACTCTCATTTGTAATACATTAACACCAAATGTCAAAAATCATAGCTATATAAATAATCTTAATTTAATCATTAACTCTTTAAATGTTATTTTGTTTATGTTCCTTCATTTAGATTCTCGAATTGTCCCTTCTTTCAACATGTACCATACTACATTCAGACTAAGATGCACATGTAACAGTTACACATATAATACCTTTGTTCAATAAATGGAATGACAGTTTTTAAATATAGTTTTCATTTCTGAGCTGAAACCTTTTTCTACATTATTTTCATAAGTATGGCAATGACCAGTGCAATTCAAAATTCTTTTTATGACTTGTTTTTATTATACCTCTTAGAAATACATTTTGTTAGAATTTTCTCTCGAGTAGATTATTGAAACCATCAAATTTGAAGTATAAACTCAACACTTTAGTGATTGTGAGATATGTTGGTGATCTTTTATTTTGTTTTCTTTGTTTAATTGTCTTGATCCATTTTTTTTTTGTTGTTGATGAAAGGTCAAGTGCCTATTGTGGGTGTTGGTGGTATCAGTAATGGCCAAGATGCATATTCTAAGGTGAAGGCCGGTGCAAGTTTGATACAACTCTACACAGCATTAATATATCAAGGTCCACCAGTCATTTCGAAAATAAAAAGAGAATTGGATGATCTGTTAAGGTAATAGTTTTAGAATCTATTTCTTCTTCTTCTAGCCAGATTTTGCTGCTGAGCTGTCAGCTCTTTTGCAGACTGTGCCAAGGAAAAATATTGAGCTGTTTTTAATGTATTTAAATTAGTACAAGTAGAAAGTGAACCACAAAATATGTATTTGCATTTAAATAGCTGATAGCTAGATTTTTCTTTTTAGACTTTGAGGCTTTATTGTCCATAAGATAAGTCCTGCTTAGCTGTCTTAGGATAGATCCTGTCTAACTGTCCATGGGATAAATCTTTCTAGTTGGCAAGTCTTTCTTTATTATCAATGCTTATATGCTAATAAAATCAGTGCTGTAAAGCACCAAGGTTATAAATAAAAAGAAATTACATTCTTATTTATCATATGCTTATCATGCATGCTTAACCTTTTGAACCCGCCAGCAACTGGACGTATTAACTTCCTCCCCCGCAAAGAACAATCTACAATTTTCCAATTAAGAACAGGACACACACCTCTATTAAATTACCATCTGAACAAAATAAACTCCACACAACTCCCCCTTTTCAGACACTGCGCCCACCCTTATGAAACTGTAAACCATATCCTCTTTGAATGCCCCTTCCTAATTCACCTTAGGCAGACTCTACTTCCACTAGAGCCCAACATAACCAACACCCTGTGCGGCAGTGCTGAACAACTGAAGAAAACAGCACACTTTTTTTCCTTGGCACAGTCTGCAAAAGAGCTCAGCAGCAATAAAGCTGGCTAGAAGAAGAACCCGCCAGCCCGATTTATCGTTCTGCGCATTAAAAATCCACGCCCTGCTAGCCCCATATATATCGATCTTGGGCACCTCACCTTAAACCAAATGTCTGTAATTAAAAATGCAAAGAAAAAAAAACATGTCACGTAGAACTATTCGACTTATGGTAAATAAGAATAATCTCGCACCCATGAGTTTTGTATTTTTAAGTGGTAAATTGATTTACAAAATGAAAAGACACTCTCTAGTGATTCAGGTACTCGTCTAATCCAAAATAAAAAAACTTTGCATGAAGCAGGGAACTATATCCTCTATGATTCTAAGAAAGAATTAGATCTAGAAAATGATTACAATGATACTAATGATAGTGAAATGGAGATTGACTTGAGGATCATCTAGATAAAATAAGTACAGTTACAGTAAATGAAGACACTAGATCTACATCTTTACCAGCACCAGGTCCATCGAAGGAATGAGGGGTCTACATGCTGAGAAGACTGGCATACCAAGAAAGAATATAGGAGATGAAGATACTATTACATTTGTCTCGAAATAAAATAGTTCATTTAAAAGTTTTAATACCAGTAGTTTGTTTTTGAGCATGCTTGTGTAAAGTGTAATTTTTCCCCAGGAGCTTAGGGGAATAGGAAACTAAGGGCAGGGAACTGTTAGGGTCCAAAGGGTTAACTTTGCATTGACATTATTGGCTCAAGACCATTGTCTTTTTAAATCTTTATTGAGAAACTTAAAGAATTAATTAGAAATAGAAGTACTTTTTAATTATTTTTTTTTCTAAAGGCATGTTAATTTTTCCCTACAAGTGTGATACTTTTCATTTATTAATGTTTCTATTGTTGAGTGAACTGGAATAGTAGGCTACCTTAAATAAGTCAATTTTTGTTCTTTTCTGCAGGAATGATGGTTACAGTCATATATCAGAAGCTGTAGGTGCTGACTTCAAAGCAAGTCTGCAGACCAAAAACAAGCAATAAATTTCAAAATTGCTATCTTGTGAATCATTGGTTAAAACATTTTTGGTGAAATGAACAGTGAAGGCTGCCATTACAGCTTAAAAGTTTGAGATAGATTTTCAGCCTATAGATCTACTTTCTGTAATTTTAGCAGTTAAGAAAAATGTTTATATGACATGGTAGTTAATACTTTCTCAAACACCAGCAATAATTATATTTGTCAGGATTTATTCAGGTCACCTGGCTGTAAGCTGTTGTAATTGTTGTTACATTATTTTGAATTTACAAGAGAAATTGTGAGTCCTTGTAATCACAACAAATTTCCATAAGGATCAAAAAAACAGTCTGTCTTAGCCTAATGGTAATTTAACTAACTTGACTGTATCCCATGATGATTAACTTTCAATGATGTCTGGTTTGTTTATTGTGCAAATACAAAACAATAGTTTTTATGTACATAGTGATTAATAAATGAAATGTTTTTTTTAATAACTAGATTTGTGTTATAATTCAAGTTTGTTGGCTTTAGTTCATGTTTATCAATAGTATGATATGAGACAGGTCCAAGTTCAGTAGATGTAATTGGAAAGGTTCTATGTGCGTTGACGTAGTAGTATTATAATATTACACATGAGGCTGGTTACTATTAGTGTGTCGCAAATGCGTAGACTGCTGGGTTCATGCTTCCTGGAGTCACACATGACAGACACAGACATTACAGATTGACTCAAGTTCTCTTTGGCAGACAAATATAATGTTTATTTAATGACGATAATAACCATACTGCATCTTATTGGCAGTTACATCAAGACTTCCGATGTGAAACATAACTACATCCGCATAACAGCGGTATTGAATATCGAAGATGATTAGTTACAGAATAAATCACAAGTAACGTCAACATCACAGCTGGTAACAATAATACTTATCCAACTCTCAGTGTAGAGAAAAACTAATAGAAATATAAGTAGTGTTCACTGGCTTCAACTACCCAAAAGATACTACTTAACTCAGTCACAACGCGACTCTCAAAGTTGCTACTACTAAGATAATATTTTACTGCCTCGTCTAGAGGATAACACTTGACTCTCTGACTTGACTGAACTCAAAGTCAATTTTAGTTTTTCTACTTCCTGTTTTCTACATCAGGTATTCACGAGTCTTTTCAACCTCTTAACATGAGGTGAACATTAAATCAGGCAATGTCAACTGAGACTGTGACAGTAATCAACACTTTTAAGGCTGTGAACTTTGTCAGCTGGCATTGCTCTCTCTCACCACTGGAAATCTTTTCACAAAGAATGGTCAATATTGTGCGGTTATAATAAGGCCTGTCTTCAAGTACAAAGATAATTGAGGAGTGCAATATTTCCCCTGGCTATGCAGCCCCAGCTGTGACCTACATAGTTTGCCGCACCCAAGGCAAGCAGAACCATTGTCCACCCATGGTCGATTTAGATTATATAAATATATATAATAGACACATTAAAAGGAACAAAATGTATGGGTTTTTTTTTTATCAGATTGACTTTTAATTTCTCAATGACCAAAAGTCACTGGACATTTCTTTCTGGCTCGTTACATTAATTGTTGCATGTATCCACATCAATGAAATTATTTCAAAACTTAAATCAATGATGAATTATAGCAATGGATGCATAAATTTGACGTCCTGAATATTTTATTGTGTAATAAAATGTTGAGTGCAGCCAACTACCAAATGAAATTATCAGAATATACAGCACAATGCATTGGACGATATGTGGAATGAGATGAAACAGAGTTACTTAACAATAAACAGATCCATCATGGTACTAGATTCAACTGTCAAAAGTTTCAATTATCAGTAGTTGGAGCTTTGATTTGTAATTTAAGTTTAGAGCGAGCCCTAAAATACAAAATTTAGTTTTGGTTTCAAAGAATTGTTACTAACATTGTTTCAGGTTTGTTTTAATTTATGTTATTTGCAAAAAAAATATAATAAATCTTAAAATTATACATCTCAAGCAATTTGAAAGCACTGTATTTTGGGTTTTAAAAAAATGTAATATCGCTAAACAAAATTTTTGAAGAAAAAAAACATGCAGTTAACACTACAGAACAAAAAAAAAGATTCACAAGATTCAAAAAGTCAATGATAATACTCAATTCAAATGGAACAATTAATTACAAAGCCAAATATTTATAGATTTTATTTACAATTACAATAGAAAGTTTGGAATATTGGATGATTTTTAGAAAACTCAACCCTGTATTCCCTTACTTTAAAACTGGTTCACGCCAGCTGTGGTCTCAAAGGTCATCTAGCAGATGCTCTTGAGCAATGTATTATAGTGCTGGTTTGCTTACAAAACAAAATGGTGGATCCAAAGACATTGTCAACTACTTGATGAAGCAGCAACACAGACCAAAGTCAACAATGCTATCTGCAGGTTAGTTTAGTTACTTCTAAGTAGGCTTCCAGAAATCAAGTAATAACAAATGGTATGCGCCATTCTTGTCTATTGTATTTATCACAAGTTACAATTACATGTAGAAGTATAGGTTAAACAAGTTGACATTATAATTCAAGTTTGTTGGCTTTAGTTCATGTTTATCAATATTATGATAAGAGTGTAGCTGTTGTGTGGATTAATTGAACTCTAAGCAATCTATAATACAATAACCACATTTTAAATTATGGACAAGTAAATTATTGTACTGAAGCTCAAGTTGTTAAATATTCTGACTAAGACAATGGCCCAAGGAATGATAATGACAACAGAGAAATGCCTTCAAGTGTTTTCTTTAAGTGATTACAACCACCATGAAACAGAAAAAAAACTCCATTACTAACAAAGTTTTCTTTTAGTGAAAAAATGAAACATAACTTACTAGATAACAGCCCAGACATTTGAAACTAGTTTATGACAAACATTATATTGTGGGAAATTTGACATTATAAATTATGAATTAATATGTATTTTGCATTACATTTGACAAGTATTCAAGAAATAAGCCTGACTTTTGACTTTGCAGTTTGATTAAATTTTACACAGTAGATTCAATTATTGTATGCAAAAGGTGTTGTCTTAGTTTAATTAAATGTCTTCTCAGTATTTTAAATTGTAATATGTTTTATATACTTATAACTTTTTTTTTTTAAATGGGTCACACACAAAATCAAAGATCAGATACTCTGTTATCTTTTCTTTTCCAAGATATTACATTTTGATATTAGTTTTCAATTACAATGGTATATAGGTACATTTATAAACATTATTTACTTTTATCAACTTAATTGATGGCTTTTTTTTTTTTTTTTAAACAAATTTCTTTTTTTTTTCTTTATTTTATCAGATTTGTCCAAAACAAAATCTTTAATACAAACTTAATCTTTATAATTAATATAAAATAAGATTATTTACGCAACTTCCTTTGCTATAAGCAAAGATTATGTATAGAGAGAAACATGATTGATAATGCAAAGAAAATATTGAAAGTATCCAGCGAGTGCATTCTCTTTTTTTTTTCTATTTAAACAATTCATTAAAAAAAAAAAAAGAAACATACAACATAGAGAATGAGATGATAAAATTTCTTTAAGAATGTCTGTTATTTTGTTAGAAAAAAAAAAGTAAACCAATCCAGCGACACATTTTCACTGAAACTTTTCCTGATGGCATGGACGTGTGTATAAACAAAATGTCTATAATTAAGGAAAAAAAGTTTCCCATACAATGACTGAAAATAAATCACACATCTGTCCAGCATAAACAGACAGGCAGTCGTCCTCATTGATAAAAGGAAAAAAAGAAATAAAACTATAAAGACCCAGCACAGCCCAGAAACAACAATGAAATGTTAGATGATCTAAATAGACATCATCTGTCTATTGTGAACCATATTCAGCACAAACTCTCTCTAGAGATAAATTTCATAACAAAATGAATAAATAAAATCTTTGCTTCAAATTTATAATTCAGTGTATGTCTACAGAAACAAAAATATACACAGGCTTCATTCATCAGGGCACATAGGTCATATAAAGAGTCTAAAGCCTTGTATGAACAAATGCATCATAATCACAACATTATCTACAGATGTTCAGATTTCTTCCTTCAACAAAAAAAAAAAACAACTCGTGTCCACAGCATTCAATTGTATCAAACATCAATTTCAAATTCACCTAATGCACATAATTTACACTCCCGCCAACACTCATGATCAACGTCATTTACACTCATTCTTATGTACATCTGTACACCTATGTCACCATCTGGTCGGCATTCACCTTCCTTTCCTGACTGGTAGCATGGTGGATGTAGTTGACTAGGCGCTGACCAACCAAATACCTGAACACAACAGAAAGTTCAAGATTAACTGGGATCAATGCCAACAATATTAAGAAAAAGGTTGTTCTACTTTGTACTGCAAGCATTTCTTTGGTTAAAATGTTATCCTATTGTTTTTGTATGAGAGTTGACTATGCCTTTTTTTTCTTCCAAAAACCTAAGAGCAGCTGTTTTGCATATTACTATTTTCAGATTTACTCTAAACAATGGGGTTGTAAGTTTGAAAAAAAAAAAAAAAAAAAGGAATATCTGGTTCAAATAGATCTGCTATGAACTAACTTACTTGTCATCCTTGATGTGGTTATACAGTCTTCTGAACTGCCGACACTGAAACACCAACATAGCTGAACACAAGATCAGGGTGAGTACAAATGGATAGATTCTTCTCACCACAAGTGTTTGGGTTTCAAAACTGACACCTAGGGAAGATAAATAAAAAGTCTTTGAAATATAGGGTATGAGAAGACTGATTGAATAAACTATTTTCTTTTCTTCATCTGTGCCTGTTTTCAGTAGAAGTTTTCCTTTTGGTCTTAAATGTTTAACCTACAGTTTAAAGAGTTCTCAAGCCCATCACTATGACAGAAAATGTAAAGCTGACCCCTGAGTTTATTTTTACACCATTTTTGAGCAGGCAGCTCTGGTGAATGCCAATATAGAGAGATATAATACTTTCTGCAGATCGTCAAGCTAATGGCAATATTTTTTCTGCACAAACTTGTCTTAACAAGAATCTGTTTAAAATACATAATGCTTTTCAACATTGGCAACCTGTCTTGGACACTATCAGTACAACTAAAAGCAAGGCAAGACTGACAACAGAATCAAGTGAGCCTCAAATAGTTTGGGTCTTGAGAACTCTTCATTACAAATGTTTAAAACTACAAGGAAAAGATCTACAACTGAACCTTTAACAGTCTTTAATATTTTTTAAAGAGTTGGCAGCCAGGTCTGAATTCAATTCTAGCTGATTCATATAGTATTTTACAAGAAAGCAGATAAATCAAATAAAACATAAATGCAGTTAATTTTTATGTAATATTTGATTTATAACAATGAAAAATGTTCCAAACATGATGTATGAATGTTTATTTTTTAAAATTTATTTGTGTATGGTACTTTTTGAAGCGCTAGCGAGGGTGTAATCCAGGGGGACATAATTGAGCAACTAAGAGTAAGTTTTACAGTAGAATACTGTCTTACACCCACCTCCAGGTGTTTTTCTGTTATTGAGGACATTGTAGTCCTTTGCCCTTCTATTTGGAAAGTTAGCTATGAAATGCTTTATTTTTTTAGTCTCTGGTCGGATTCCCACTCCCTGCCCCCTCCGCACTGCCTTTGATGCTGTGAAAAACCATCTTGGTCGATGCATTTTATTATTTTTTGGAACATCTGGCTATCAAAATTTAAGATTATCATTTACTTTTTACTGTATAAAAGTTATTTCAAATTTAGGAATCAGGAAGTGGAACAAAAAGTTTGATATTCAACTTAAATTCGGTCCTAATTGTTATGGCCCACTGGGTGGGACATTGGACCAGAACGGGAAATAAAAATGTCACATTTGACTGGAAAGGGTTAAGTGTTTTAATGACAAACACTATTTGAACAAATGGAACTTACCAAAAGCAGGAACTATGCTGTGTGCAATGACATAGGGAACAGCCAACGCCATACCCAAACAAGTAGAAACAGGCAAACAGATGTGGACCATGATAAATTTCATGTTTAAATTTCTCATACCATCATTGTAAACCTGAAGGCAAAGCAAGTTCAAACACTGTCATCACAACTGAGACAAAAGTAAAAAATCAAAGCTGGTACATCCACAACAAAGAAAATGAACATAGCTAGAAGTTCAATGATCTGTTAGTACTGAATTTTCCTTTATCTACAAGCAGCAGTAATTCACAGGTATTGCTCTTAGACTGATCCTTGAAAAAAGTCATGTCTTGTTTTTCAACAAAATTAATGTGAAGTGGATCATTTCTTTTCAATATATTGAAGTGAATGCTGTAGAAATTTTTAACAGTCATTCTTTAAAAAACACAACTTCTCATCAATTACTTTACAAAGCTTTCACTTTTTTAGCGGCCCCCAAAAGGGGAAAAAGCGCTATTAGTTTTGTGCGAAATGTCTGTCCGTCCGTCCTGTTTGGATCTCATAAATTAGAAAAGATATTGAAAATCCGACATCACAATATTTTAGACCATTCAAAGTTCTGATGCAACGGCTACTTTTTTTTTTCTGAAAGCGAAAAATCTAATTTTTAAAATCAGTTATGCAAGCAGTTTTTTAAAGAGAAAAAGCTAATTAGTATGCATTATAAGTTAGACCTAAATTAAAACGAATAGTAAACTTGTAAACTTCATTTTCATTAAATTTTTTTTTATTGCGAAAATTTAAAAAAATTTTTTTGAGATTGAGCCTTTTCAAAACAATTACATCAATTATAAGACTTCAGTTAGGCCAGGAGAGGCGCGGTAGCTGAGCAGTAAAGCGCTTGGCTTCCAAACCGGGGGCCCCGGGTTCGAATCCTGGTGAAGACTGGGATTTTCAACTTCGGAATCCTTAGGCGCCTCTGAGTCCACCCTGCTCCAATGGGTACCTGATATTAGTTGGGGAAAAGTAAAGGCGGTCGGTCGTTGTGCTGGCTACATGACATCCTCGTTAACCGTAGGCCACAAAAACAGATGAACTTTACATCATCTGCCCTATAGACCACAAGGTCTGAAAGGGGAACTAGTTAGGCCAGGTTCACATCTAACTTTGCATTCACTTGCACCTATCCTTTGATCTGCTGTACTGTTGGGGCACTACACAAGATCTGTCAACCTTCTTTCTCCATTCTTATCTATCATTTGTCTTTGATATAATTTCATTTGGGTGTTCTTTCTGAAAATATTGAAGCCTGCCAGGTGGACCACTTCGGGGGCCGATTTTAAGTTTGTGTTTCCACACAAACTGTCTTTGTAATTTATTGTTTTATTTAGAAATGTTTTCATTGTCTATCAAGACATAAGCCATGTACAGTACAGTAAAAGAATCCAAAACCCTATTAATCATCATTAAGAGACGCTTGCGTTTGGTGTAAACACTATATAGAGGCAGAAGTGACAAGACTTACCCTCTCTATTGCTCTCTTCAGCCACCACTGAGGTCCCATCATTACCACAGCTGTGAGAATTTTCATGTGCAGAACACCAAGGGCCCAGTCCTAGAGGATACAAGTGCTCAGTTCTAAAGTTAAGTTCATGGAAATAACTTTTTACTAAGTTTTTAACTCCCCATTGGTCCTATGTTTTTTATGTCAGTATTTTTATGTCTTGCAACTTCTTGTGGCCCAAAGCAGCGTTGGAAACATAACAGGTGATCTAACTAGATATAATTAATATATCTTTTCTACTTTATTCTTTCCAATTAAGTCATTTGTATTAAAGTTGTTTTTAATTTTATTTTAACAATGTTATTTTTGGGGGTCCTAAGTTCAAATCCTGGTGAAGACTGGGACTTTTAATTTCATTATCTTTAGAGCCCCTCTGAGTCCACCCAGCTCTAATTAGTTGGGGAAAAGTAAAGGCGGTTGGTCATTGTTCTGACCACATGACACTTTCATTAACCGTGGGCCACAGAAACAGATGCCCTTTACATTATCTGAACCACAAGGTCTGAAAGGGAAACTTTAATGTTCCTTTTATTTATTTTTTGTAACCAGTATAAACAGAATTTCGAGAAAAAAAGAATGAGGTTTTAATGCTTTTGAAAGATAGCCTGTTCCCCCCCCCCCCCCCCCCCCCCCCCAATTTGTTATCATAATGAAAGCATGATAACTGACTGGGCCCAACATATACAGTGTTGAAAAAAAAAAAGTCAATAATTTACAAACTCTCCTTAATTCATTTCAATTCTGAAAAAAAAAAACTACTTGAAAAAATATAAGTGTTTTACAGGTGGGTATAAAAAGTTTGACAGGCGTGTATAAAGAGTTTGACAGGCGTGTATAAAGCCACTACATTTATGACGTACCTGCCAAGGGAAAAATATTGGCGACTGATCTAGTGGCACTCTCATAGGTGCCACAATAATCACATCAAACAGCAGCCCCAACAGAAGTGGAATAACAACCAACAGAACTAAAGCCATGACAAGTGACTTGACAATCTAAGATAAAAGTCAAGGTAATAATAGAAAACAGCAACAAGGATCAAGTCAATAACAAAACTACTAACACAGC